GACGCTCCTAAAGCACGTCCAGTAAAGTGTGTACAGATGAGTCTGACGCTTCTGCTGCTTTTGTGTTCAATGGCAGAGACCAGCTTTTTGTATTTGCTGTGATAAGCTGGTAAAGAGTAGTTTTAATATATTTTTAAGTGAGAAAGTACACCCCAAAACATTGTCTGTGCAGTCAGCTCATCAAGTTTACGATCCTACTTTAAAATACTTTAAAATATTTGCTGTTCGGGGCAGCTGGAAGTAGATGTTAGTGTACAAACTGCAAGCACCAGAATAATAACAGCAGACATATTTTGCAGGTTTTGACATTCTAAGTTAATTTAGGCATTAGCAAGCGCATGACATCCCTCAGATGCTCAGAAGCTCATGAGGCGCAGCTTCAGCTGCTCAGACACATCAAGATGCACTGCTCCTGCTTCTCTAGATGCGCTGCAGGACCTTTTGAGGGACTTTGATGCACTTTTTACATGCATTGACTGCATGTAAACCAACTGCCTCAGTCGCATGCAGTCTGAATGTAACATTAGAGGCTGCAAAAAGCCTTAATTGGGGCTTCTCTTCCAACAAGAACCCTAAATGTCTAGCCAGAGCAACAATGGTTTAAAAAGTATACTGTATTTATGCGTTTAATACCTAGACAAAAATAAGGCCGACAGTAAGATAACGCTTCAATCTGTTAAATAAACTAAAAGGTAATGTTCATATTTGCTCTCCATCTAACATGAATGATATAGAACTAGGGCTGCAAATAATAATTATTTTATTAATCTATTAATCTTTCGATTATTTTTTCGATTAATCAATTAATAATTTGACAATAAACTATTCCTTAAAGAAGAATCTTTACAGGATTAAATCAGGTGAAAATGAAACTTTCCCATTTGAGGAGTTCTGATATTGACAGATGAAAAAGTATTTTTTATTTTAAATGCAATATATATACATTTTTTTTTTTTTTTTACAATTTTGGTATAATTACTTCTCTAAGTGGGTTACTCTGTCAGCTAAAGGCATGTCTCTATACGCATTTAAGGATTATTAGAGTACTAAATTAGTTGATTAATTTCAATAACCGATTAATCATATTGTTTCGCCCTATATTGAACAATTTTACATAAAAACATTTTAGTCTCTGAATGTACAACGCTGGTCGAGATATAAACCAAAAAACCTCCAGTAGTAATGAAAGCTACAGGTGGTTGTAGAGAGCATTGGATCAGTCTGAATGTAGTATGACAAAGGTGAAAGAGTTAGAGGTATTAATAAGTTTGAAAAGCCCTTCATGTGCAAAGGTGATGTCTCATCTTTCCCCATCACCAGACATCATCCCAGTGTGCTCAACTGCTTTCCCCATCTACTCTTCCTACACAGCAGACCTCCATCCTCTAAACCATCTGCTGTGGACGGCATGCATGCCATTTTTAGGGCAACAGCACAGAGTTGCAAAGAAAACTGAGACAACATGAAGGCAACACTTGTTGCTCAGTTTTAATGCTCTGCAGTGAAGAAGAAGAAAAAAAAAAAACGGCTTTCTCAGAGGCAGCAGAGGGCGAGTATGGAGAGCGGCTTTGCTTTTCCAGAAGAATTGACTCATCTCTGCAGACTTGTCCATCTGTTTTCTTGTCTTTTAAACTTTTATGCATACACTTGGAAAGTAAAAATGCAGTGGGCATTTCAAACAGGGACATGAACAGATGTTTGTTGTCCTGAAGAAGACAGCTTCATTGCAAGACGTTAAACCCATGGTGATTAAAAGACAAGAGGCTACATTAAAGTCAGACAGAGCAGAATTACTGTGTTTCTTCTATTTTATATGCTTTGCTTTAATTCATTTAATTCAGCTTTTCTATATAAAAAGCATTCATGGATTCACAGTTTTTGGTAAATGATGGTTTATCCTTTGATATTTGACTTATATTCTGTATGCCAACACTTCCAGTGAGACCTGCTGTAAGGAAAATTACAGTCAGTAGCTTTTCCCCAAATGGCAGTTCTGAAATATCTGCCTGCACCATAATGTGGACAAATTTAATATAAGTTTGAAAACTAAATGAACTGGTGAGGGAAGGCATCAATATTGAGCAACAACAAACGCTGACATTTGATCTGTAGCTGCAGTCAGTCGATAATTTGGTCTGGAATAAAATTGCAACATAATGAATATTTATTTTGTTTTTGTTTCATTAAAGTTTAATTTGATCAGGGACTTGTTATTTAAAAATAGGAAACTGTGTTCTGTTCATCGCCGTTCTAGTCAAAGGCTCATTTGCAGACCCTGGCTAAGCTTTCATGCTGGTTTTTTGAAAATGACAAATGCAAGCATTCTGAATTAAAGACATTTAATGTAAAAAATAAATAAATAAAACAAAAGCAAAAATTAAATAAAGAAGAGTCGAGTGAAATAGCAGTAGAAGGATTGTGCCAAGAATGAGCTTTACACTGTTACTAGTTTTTACAGACTTTGATTCTTTAGAGCTAGCCTAATTTAAATAAAAGGGGATGGGTTAAGTGCAGAGAGTTAATTTCGTTGCTCTTTACTTGTGACAGTGTAATGATATATATATATAAAAAAAAGAAATAAAAAAGTTTTCCCTGCACAGCTGATTTTCATTGATGGCTCATTAACAGGCTTTTTTTTTAAAAAACTGCAATCATCAGAATCGCACCACTTTAACTGATGCATAATACTATTCAATAAATGTATATTCTATAAGAATTATGAAAAGAAAGTCTTCACAGAATTATCAAGTCTTGTGCAAATGCTGCACAAAAAAAAAACTCTGTAGAAAAAAACAAAACTATTATTGATGCAACAACATATCTGAAACAACTTAAAAAAAAACATCTAAAGGCGCCCACTCCCATAAGGGTAACACCTTTACCTGAAAAAGGGAAGACAGACAACAATGACGGCAGAGTGCTCCATCTAACCTGACCTTTAACCTTGATGACTCAGTGCAGTCATCCTTTGAAATCTTTTCCTTTACTTTTTAACTGGGTAACATGTGAAAAACTTTTGAGATACTAAAGGGTAGAACAACAAATAAAACAATCATGCCATTTATCTTAAACTTCCCTTTTAAAACAAGATACTAACAGAATCATTGTGACTTTAATGTCAGTAGGTTTGAGTATTGTGATGAATCTCTGCACTGAAAGAGTTCTGACTAACATTTTTTTTTTTAAATCAGTAAACGGCTCCTATCTATAAAATATTACCGTTTAAAATCTGTCGATTAAACACCAAGAGATGAAGTTTTTAGTTTTATGCTCCCAAACAAAAAAAACCTGAGATAAATGAGGCCTGAAAACATCACAGTTTTGCCATTAAAACTAAATTTCATTTATTCTCTCCACCATGAGTGTTGTATTAGCTGAAGTGCTACAATTTAATCAGTTGATTTTATTCTATTGCACGTTTTTATGTAACGCTGTTCATCTTTTGAATCACCTATTTATCCAGGTTCTCTAGTTTTCCTGAAAGCTGCCAATTTAATGTAATGGTGCCATAAAAATAAACTGGATGGCCTGGATTCATGTTGCAAGTTGTCATTTTTGCACATTTCTAGAAACAGTGCACCGTTTAAAAGGAGAACTTGGAAGTAATATATAATTTATATATATCATTTGCAGAGAAGCTGTTTTTCTTTAAACCTTGAAAAAAAAAAAAAGGCGAGATTCCCTGATTGGTTTTAAAATCACACCACTAAACTATTGTCCAACAATTAAAAAAACATATTTAAACATAATTTTAATTGGAGAAAAGACTATTAAAGATTTTACTTTTATTTATTTCACAATGGCAGCAACTTTATGGACTTTAAATCTACAGGTTAGAGTTTATTTTTCCAGCTTAAAAAAAGATCCTTATGTTCGGCTCCAACTCTGACCATTTAGTTTTGATTCCAGATCCTTTAGCGACTCAAACCCCCACAATGCAGCCGTTTAATGCACATGTACCCTGCTAAGAAGCCAGACAGTTACAAATACACCAAAGTCCAGAATTAATAAAATTCCTGGCTGATTACTTTAAAGAATTTGGACATAGTGGGTGGAAGCAAATAATCTGCAATATAAGCAGTTTTTATGATCCAACTCAAATATGTCATTTTTTATTATTCGTTATATCAAAGAGGATTTTTTTCTGGAATTAATTTTTTTTTTTATGCTTTTGCTGTCAGTCTGTAATGAATTCATTTCATATAAGCAATGAGCCTTTTAATGATCCAGCTGTAGGGTATTGTTAGAGATTAATAGTTCAAATATGCTTTTTTCTTTACTGTAGGCAGATGATTTCATTATATTTATTTTTAAAATGTTCATATGTTCTGGTAAGCGACGCCCTAATCGGCGACCATCATGATTTAAAAGCCTCAAAGTGGGAAATTCAGTAGGAGAAAATAAGAGCGTCGTCCGAAATCAATATGGGAGTGAGAGGATTGTCTTGAGGTACACTGAAGAATAGAAAGTAATGCTATCATGATTTGAGCGATAACTCTGACTTGTGCGCCAACAGCTGATTAAGCAGGAGGGAGACAGAAAAGTAAACTTCAATCTGGGCAGTAAACCTGGCCAAAAACATTAAGATGATCAAGGAAGCATTATGCATTTAGGTTCTTAGCCAGCTTTCAGCTCAGGCAATTAAAAATAAAAATCTTTCACACTTAGAAAAAGTTCTGCTGGTGAACATGAGTGCAGCCTCACTGTGACAGAGCAACATGACAGCCACATAAAATATAGAAAGCTGATCTCCGATCCACAAATCAGTGATTCCCTTTATAACTGAGGCTTCCCTGTGTACAGTTCTCCCAACGGCACCTGAAAGGTCTGCATCTGCACATAAAACAAAGTACAGCCCATGGGACAGGCCTATGCTGACTTTGTCCTTTTCTTTATCCTGTTTCCTGATGCATGTGGTGATAAAGTTCTATGTACGGGTATCTGAGTCTTTGCATTATGTGTTTGGATGCATGTGCATCTTTTTTGGTGCCAGGACTCACAGCTGGAGAACTCCAGAGGACAGGAATGCGCATCCATGGGGAAATTATGAAGCTGCAGCTGGCATTCTGCATTGATGGTCATCCTGGACAGAAGGACAGAAAGAAGACTGGATTAGACGAAGGCGTTCATTGCTTTGGATCCTTCGTTTAGCAGACCGTGAAGACCGTTGTGAGTGCACAGGACTCATTAATGCCCTTTTTTTTTTTTTTTTTGCCCTGGAGAATATGAGGCACTGGCTTGAAACCATATGGTACAGGATCACACTCAATTGCATGGTTGACGGGTAAAATCCCTCAAAATGACAGGAGTGGTTCATCATAAGAACTGAACATGCTTCTTTTCTTCCCCAGTTAGGTCACGGTTCAAAGGCATGTCTGCTTCTGAAAACCGAGGCACTTAGCTATGATCACTTGATGAGTCAATACACCAGATGTCCAGGGGAATCTAGGATAGCTATTTTTTGCCTTTGCACATCTTTAACCTAGTTTAACCTTATTTTTCTTCATATATCGGTATAAGAGATTTTTTTTTTTGGTAGATATCATTTGTGAAAATAAGACAATAAACACCAGCTTTTTTCTACAGTTTGTTATCCATTGTTGCTTCTTTGTCCTTCGTACAATTTCAAATTAATTGCCTGACTTGGAGCACAAAAGAGGAGTCTCAGCCGAAGCAGGAGGAGGGCTGCCTCGCTCCCCTTGTTTGGAGGTGAACAAATTGCAGATGATGTGCAGACTTGATTTGCATACATGCTCGCTTCCATTCTTGTCAGCTTGGAAATCTAGATTCGGGTGAGACTGAATTAGTTAGAACAGGAAGCAGCGCCGAATGTTAGGAGAGCTGTGCGTTCAAGAAATGACAGTTCAGAAAAAAATGTTTTTTTTTAATTTTAGTTTGTTTAGAATCCAATAAAATAAGTTTAAAGGAAACAATATTTTTTTCAGTGTATGACAGTCATGCACAGGGAGGAATTTCTTAGAAAGCAGCTCAATATCTTAAAGAACTGAGCTTAGTTGAGTTTCTGGTTTGTAATTTCTAGCAATCATCGTTAGTTTTAAGTTAGAGTTGTTATCCACACATACAGCCGTATGATGGTACTGATTCCATCCAATGTATTTATTAAGCACTTTAAAAACTCTTGAAGGGATATATATATATATATATATATATATATACACATATATACACTACAAAAACACTCAGAGTGCAAGCAGCAAATTTTGCCTCATATTGTGACTTGCATCAATAGCTGAAACTTGCATGTGATCTGGATTAAATCAACAATGTTCCATTTTTTTTTGCGTTTTTGTCTTCAGTAAAATACCTCCAGACTTTTTGAGTCCAATGCTGAAGCTGTCAATAGTCACTGGTGCCACCCTCTGGTATAGAGTGGAACTGCTTGTCCTGCATTTAATCAATTGTTCCTTGGCATGAGGGAACCATCTGATATATATGAAAACTGTCCATAACTTTTCAAGTTATTCTGTACAAAAAAAAAAAACACAACCTCCTAAAACATAAGATAAAAAAAAAAAAAGGAGCCAAAATGAACATAAAAAATACACTAGAAGGGTCGCATCCCTGATGAACGTTGCTGATGATTAAACTTCTGGATGAGAGTTTAAATTAGTGTTAAAGCAATTTCTTGTTAGTTTAAACACAACAAGATGAAGTTTAACTTAAGGTTTCAATTTGTAGTTTTATGACCCTTCTGTACTTAGAAAAAAAAAAAAATATATTAAAGCGTAACTCCTGATTTATTTCATTTTCTTATTCATTCCGTATAGGAAAGTAAAAAAAAAAACAAAAAAAAAAAACAGACCAAGGACCACAAAAAGGGATCATCCAGGAGGTCAAATGAAGGACAAATGGTGAAAATTATATTAAAAGCTATAATTTAACCCCTCAGAAGCTCACATATTACGCCATAAATTACTCATCGCGGTCCTAATTTATTTAAATTTGGCATTTCAGAAAGCAATAAAAATGCAATACATAGACTCCATATATATGTCAGGAGTTAAATTAATTTTAGTAACACTAAGTGACGAATAAAAATATCTTCACATACATGCTATTGTGAATCATTTGAGCCATTTTCTTCAGACAGAAGGAATGTCATCTTTCTAATATCCGAGGGTAACTTTCTTCTCCCCAAAAGCAACAGTTCCTTAAAGTACGCTCGTCAAGTTTAATATTTGCTTTCCCTCGAGCCTCTTAGCTTGCCAACTTCTTTAACTAACACTTACTGGCTACTTCAGTTACATCTGTGAAGCCTGCAAGCTGTTGTTTACATTTTATTGGCTGTTACTGCAAAAAAATAAGGTCAATCAGCATAAGTTAGCGAATTAGGAAAGAGTTGAAATGACTCCAAAGCCTCTGTACAGCTGGAGGGAGCAGCTGTGTTGGGCGATAACCATCTGTCACGACGGGTGACCCTTTCCTATCAAATGTAACGACCGGGTCCATTGTTTGTGCAAAGAGAAAAAGAAGAGTGCAGCTTTAGCTTCTTGATGTTTCGATGCAAAGCAGTTTAGTTTTGGCCCATTTGACCCCTGCTGATAAGAAGCACATTTATAGCTCAGCTCAGAAGGCCATGATCAGTGGTATTAACCTCTACAGCAGCACAAATTATCCCTCTACAATCATAGGTTAGATTCATGCTCCTAATTAGACTATTTTGAGTCTTTTAACCTTCTTACATGAAAATGGAAAAAAAAGGTTTTAGAAAAAGCTGCATTGCAATAAATAAATGCTTAAACAGAAAAAAACAAAAAAGAAAAGAGACCAAGACGATCTTTCCAAGCAAAGTTATCGCAATGAGATGCAGAAATCTTGGAAAACATTATGCTCATTTAGGACCAGTTTATTCACAACAGCACCTGGAGCGTCCTGACACAGCAGGGGTGGTGCGTCTCCTCCAAGGCCCATGTAAACAAAGCAGAGGTTGTTTGCGCTAGGTTGCCGAGGTTTAGTCATATAGATGCAGGTAAAACAGATCCTCAAGGCATAAAAGCCTGTCAAAGTCTGAGAGTACGTAAACCCCAAAAGGTTTTAAAATTTTAAAAAGAACCTGTCCGCTCAAATTGTCCTTTTTTTCCTTCTCAGTAGCTGCAGACAGCTGGGGTTTTCTCAGTCATAAAGCTGAGCCACCAGACAAATGCAGGACGTGTTGACAAGCTGGAAGAGGGCGTTTTATATTTCTGCTCCGAAGGCAAATAACTGTTTGGTAACAAAAGCAAAGATTCAAATCTTAATACAGAATATGAGATCTACTGCAGAGCGCGCTGTGGATGTGTGGGCGGCCTGTCAAATAAATGTCTGCCGCTGCAGCTGCTGTTTACAACCATCCAAAAAACAACGCTGCATTACTTCCAGCTACAGACAGAATTTTTAAATGCTTTTGTCAACCGGCTTTGAGCATCACTTAGATTGAGATGCACCTTGATTTAAGCATTTTAGAAGTAGTTTGAAATAAAACAAAATAAGGATTTATAATCTAATTCCATAGTTCAGTAAATAAACTGGAAAATGCGTTCAAAAATATGTCGAGCATAACCATAATACAATTTTATCCTTTCTAGTGCAGCACATCCGTCAGGAGAGTAAATGTGGGTGGAGTCATAACTGCTCCAATTTAGATGCATCATCTAAAGCAGACTTGCTAGCACTAAAATAAATTATGAAATTTGTCATAAAGTCATAATAACACTTCAGATTTTTGTCAAAGTACATTTTTTTTCATTAAAGTACATTAAACTTGAAGATGAGCTCCTTTGCCTTTCAAGAACCTTATAACAGTGACTATAAATAGGAGGTTATCATGTATGATCAATTAGATCTTTTTATTTTAATGTAAAATCCTTACTGAAAGAATTTAAGAAATATGGCTAAAATAAACTTAATCTAAAAATGAGAACTAAATCCAACTAACCGGTTTCCAATCTAAGAGTTTTGTCAATCCATCAGCAGTCCCATCAGTTTCTGTTAAAAACGTGTTAAGTTCCAACATGCTCACATGACCAGCCGTTTTCTCCTGGAGATCTGTTTCGTTTTAAGCCGTTCTTTTGGCTTAGAGACATGTGGACACGAAGGAAAGCGCTGCTGATGTTAGCCATCAGAGGTCGATTCATGATATGACAGCCATTTGAATGCTTGGAGATTTTCCACATTGGCTTCAGAGTTGAGCATGTAAACAGTCCTACTGGATGAGGCTTAGTGGACTCAAGAAATGGAAAATACAACAATAGCAACTTGCAGAAGTTTATTCGAAAATAAGCAGCTTAGAGAAGCATACAGGTATGATGAGGAAAAAATACAGCCATCACAACTGTTGTCCAAACAGGTCGATAACTTCCAGCTCTATCATTCGGATTCAGCTTTGATGATGGACGAAAGCTTTAAGAGTTATTTTGATCTTAGATGGGGACGTGAACTTCTGCAGGACAGCTCAACATCAGAGGTAACCTGGGAGCTGCACCGTATACAGAGATGAACCCTTTACAGACGCTTCTTCCTCTTTGACTCAAAGTTTCACAGCCGTAAATTCTTTCTACTTTTCCTCTGAACTTAAGATGTCAGAGTTTCAACATCACAACTATTTTAGATGTATTCTTGCAGTTATTGCTTTCACATTCTGAATTTTGACACTCTGGGGCTCGCAGCACTAACCTTTTTATTATTTGTTGATTATTTTAATTAGTTGGGCCTAAAATTAATGCATTTAATTATGTTGAAAGTAAAAAAAATAATCAAAACAAACATTTATAGTCTTGCATATTCATATATATATTTGTCTAATATATAATTTCTCATTTTTGCTGTGAAACAACTCCAGGAAATAACTTTCCCATTTTGGAGTTTTACAAAAGTTTTAGATCTATGATGAGTGTAGAATAATTTCATTTTGACTAATGCTATATGTAATAGAAATCAATATTTATTTTAATAATATTTGGCCACTTTGGCTCTCCATAAATCCAAGCATGTGTAAATAAATAAATTATTGTAGGTTGGCACCTGGGAAGCTTTATAAATGGTTTGTTTTAAATTACCACTGAAGACTTGATTTCACCCAGTTTCATCCATTCAAGCTCAAGAACAAAAATACTTTTTCCACCAAGAATTTTAATTTTTTGGTGAAAAACAAAATATCAATATATAAAGAATATTTTATAATATTTATGCAAATAAAGCCTTTTAATACATGAATGAAATACTAACATTATAAAGGAAATGCATTCTGCTAATAAAGCTAAGATTTGACTGATAGAAAATAAACACTATTGATATGTTTGTATATTATATGTAATAAATTAAGCAATTGTTTTAAAAAGCACCACCAGAAATAGTTAATTTGGGCAATACTACTGTAATATGTAGAGAAATGTTCTGGATCCAGATTGCATGAGGAAATTGTTGCATTTTGTATCCGATTGAACTGAATAATGTCTGGTGGCTGTTGCATGTGTTACACTGAATGAGCACTTTTACACCAACACTCCAGTGTGATAATTCGGGGCTAAAATACACTTTCTCATAGTCCTACCCCACAGATTTTAGGAGCACTTCATTTTATTTTATTTTATCATCTTTACTAAATTTGCTGAGGATTCACTGGAAGGGAATTAACAATAGTAAACTCCTCAATCCTGATCTTTGCAGATGTTCATTTCTGCTCCCCCACGCTTTTCAGTTCCTATAAAGTATTTGAGCTTTCATGCTTCATTTTATTTTTTAAGGAGCGGCATTTCAGCCATACTGTATTTTTACACTCATCATTTCTAACAATTTATCTTTACAAACCTTTTTTTTTCCCCAACTGAGCTTTTTCAACCTTAACATGTCATCAGGGATCTATAGAATAAGACTCAGATCTTTTTAGTACCCAGGCTTGGTTTGGTCCTAAACTCCTGCCTATTGAGCATCTAATTTTTGATTTTCTCCTTTTTTTACCTTCTTTTTGGATATTGAGTAAATTTCTACACTGTACCAATAAACCAATAAAAATCAATCAATCAATATTAGACACACATTGATCATATTTGCTCATGTTAGCCTCTCCGGCATATCTACCCCCCCCCCCCCCCGGCATATCTACCCCCCCCCCCCCCCCCCCCCCCCCCCCCCCCCCCCCAATATCATTTATGGACATATGTTACTTTCTACAAAAAATCAAGACGTAACAATTTGAACAACAACAGTTTTACCTTCAAAATCTGTCTGATAAAACCTGTTTGATAAGAGAACATTTTGTAAATAATAATTTAAGTTATATAATAAAACATTGATTGTCACTCCTTGCATGCGTTTTTGTCTCTTTATATGCAGCACTTTCAAAGTGGTTTAGATAAAAACAGGCTTACTGTAGACACTTTCCTCAGCTCTCGCTGAAGGACAAATGATGAGTGGATTTCTAGCAACTATGCTACCTTTTACTCTCAGACTTTTGTGTCACATACTCCTGGTTTTATCGACTTCATTTCAAAGCATAATTTTGAAGGTTTTTACCTCAGTGTGTAAAGTATCTTTCCATTGTTCCAGATGCGAAGTAGCTGATTTGGAGTCGTTATCCAGTGCGAGTCGGCGTTCTTGGAGTTCCTAAAGATGGTGTCAGGCAGCCAGATCAGGCCGACCATATTGCTGGTTGCAAAGGAGACGGAGAGAAAAGGAACAAGGTGAGAATTCACTGGAGGAGGCTTCTTTGAGACCTCTGTAAAATGAATAAGTCTTCTCAATAGGAGGATAATTAAATGGGAAAGTAATGCACAATCAATTTGTTCATTTGATTACTAATCTGTGCAAAAGAGGAAAATATTTGTCTCAAAAGATATTCTCTGTATGAAAAATTTCAAAAGGTATTGTGGCAGAAGGACTAACTTTTATACATACGGGGTCTTATATATCCCTCTAAAAGCTTAATCTCTAATCTTCAGATTACAAATAAAGTGTATTTGCAACAAACAATACCTATTGAGGGTCAGAATCCGCATGCTGCTGCTGTTATACTGCAGACGAGTGTCGACCCAAGACTGTGCAAAGATTATATCGATCTGGTACTCCTGGGGAGAGAAAACAAGAGTCAATATAGTGATCGGACAAGGCTTTTTAGTGAGATGCACAGACGAAAAGATTTTCAGGAGGAAATGTGTGTGTTCAAACCACTGCTTTGGAGAATTCAGGCGCAAAATGTCCACATCAAAGAAAATCCCTCAGCAGAGCTCACTGGAAGAACATATTATGCTTTTGATATGGAAATTTAATTACAGCCTCTCCCAGTCTATTTACTTCAGCATATTTATTATTTATTCATTTTTTTTTCTACATCTCAGTCATGACCCCCCGTTTTAATTGTGCAATGTTTTACCGTGAGAACATTGAATCTGAATTTGCTCATTTAGCTGATATTCAATAATTAGACTACTATATGCCCAAAAGGATTTTTGGAGTGGGTGGTTGTCTCTTCCCATAAGCCTTAATTAGAATTCTTGAAAGTGTTGTTCTGAAAGCATGGTTTTACAAAGAGCTAAATGTAAGCAAACACTCATCTGCCTTGACACGCTGGTAGAAACCCCACATACTGCTCAGCAGCACTTTTTTTATTTTTATATATTAATCAACCTCGTGTTTCTTTGGATATTTTCATTTTTTAAAACACAATTGGGAACAGAGCTTTTTAAATGTTCTAATCTAGAAGGAAAAAATGAAACTAAGCCATTTAAAATACTGTACACACTTTATGCGAAGTCTGAGACATGTTGCCTGAAAGAGCAGCTACCACTGCAGGTACTCTGGTTGGAAAATATCACAACAATCAGATTTGTATCAAACACCACACTGTGTTTGACAACTACAGCAGTCTCTGAATTATTAAACCTGCTGAATAGAAAAAAAGAGCTTGCATTTGTAAATCAGTTGTGGTCTGAAGAACAGCTGACAGCTGAACAGACCAAGCTTTTACTGCTGTAGGTGAGCTAAAGATGCAGTGCCTTACGAAAGTATTCTGCCCCCTTGAACCTTTCAACCTTTTGCACATTTCGGGCTTCAAACAAAGATATAAATTGTAATTTTAGATGAAGAATTAACAACAAGTGGGGCACAATCATAACCTGCAGCCAGATTTATATGTAAAGAATTGAGTTGAGTTCTACGTTATAGTCTGTCCTTTAAAAGGAGGGACATTTAGTACAATACTTCGAGCTGATTAGGTGACGTGCCACCTAGTATCCGCCTTCCATAATACGTTTTCAGCCAATCGTGGGAGTAAATCGGGATGTTTCAGACATGTGCCAGGAATGACCGGTGGGACGTGTTTACTGAAATGTAGACCATTATTTATGGAGGAGTCATGTCATCCTGCAATGATTTATGTAGAATTCGGAAGATAAACCTGCTCATAAAAGACATATTAAACAACACAAAGTTGATTTTTGAACTTCATCAACCCTCAAATGAAAAAACTTTGCAAGGACAATTGGACTAGGGATGCAACTTGTTAGAGGATGAATCAAAATCATTGTAAATTTGCAAGTCATGTTTTTGACAGTTGGAGAGAATGAGGCAGACTATCCCATTTTAAAGAAAAAGAAAGAGCCTGAAAAGAAGATTACAGGTGAAGCATCATCTTCTGGTAAATGGAGGATAGAGTTTACTCCATCTAACATTCTGAGGTCTATTAAAACAGAGTCAAATTTAGTATTGACAGGTGAGTCCTCCAGCAAAGCCATGTTTTTAATGCCCTGGCAAGGCCTTCTGACATTCCCAGTCATTCCCACATGTTCTGCCCAAAAAAAACACAGCTGGCATATCATTCGTCCGACTTCCTGGTTGTTACGAGACGGACGTGTTAGCGGGAGTCTTTCAAGATGGATTTGTTGCGAGACTGAAAACTTAGATCTCGCAACAATCCAGCTTGCGGCGCAAGGACAAAACAATCATGGACTAGAACAAAATGTATTGGATATTTGAAATAAAAAAAACAAAACAAAAGCTGAAGTGGGGTGAGTAAAATTATTCCGCCCCTTTACTTTCAGAGCAGCAAACTCTCTCCAGAAGTTCAGTGAGGATCTTTGAATAATAAAATGTTGACCTAAATAACTTATAATGATAAATAGAATCCAGCTGTGTGTAATCAAGTCTCCATATAAATGCACCTGCTCTGTGATCGTCTCAGAGGTCTGTTTAAAGAGCAGAGACCATCAGGTCCGAGATACTGTTGTGGAGAAGTTTAAAGCCAGATTTGCATACAAAAAGATTTCCCAAGCATTAGACATCTAACAGAGCAATTTGCAAGGGATAATATTGAAATGGAAGGATTATCAGACAACTGTGAATCTACAAAGACTCGGCCGTCCCTCTTAACTTTCAGCTAAAACAAGGAGAAGACTGATCAGAGATGCAGCCAAGAGGCCCATGATCAGTCTGGATAAAATCAGTCGTATACTGCACAAATCTGGCCTTTATAGAAGAAAGCCATTTCTTAAAGATATCCATAGAAAGTTTTGTTTAACTGGGAGACACAGCAGACATGTGGAAGAAGGTGATCGGTGCAGATGAAGCCAAAATCTAACTTTTGGGCAACAATGCAAAACATTGTTTGGCGTAAAAGCAACACAGTTCACCACCATTAACACACCATCCCCGTTGTCAAACATGTTGGTGGCAGCATCATGGTTTGGGCCTGCTTTTCTTCAGCAGGGACAGGGAAGATGGTTAAAATTGATGGGAAGATGGATGGAGCCAAATTCAGGACCATTCCGGAAGAAAACAAGTCTGCAAAAGACCCAAGACTGGGATGGAGATTTAGCTTGCAACAAGACGATGATCCAAAGCATAAAGCAGATCTACAATGTAATGGTTCAGAAATAAATATATCCAGGTGTTAGAATGGCCAAGTCAAAGTCTAGACCTGGATCCAAATGAGAATCTGTGGAAAGAACTAAAAACTGCAGTTCATAATTGCTCTCCATCCAACCTCACTGAGACATAGTGCAGCTGTTGCAACTGATGCACCAAGATGTTAATTCAAGGGGGCTGAATAATTTTGCACACCCAGTTTCTCAGTCTTTTGTTTGTTAAAAAGGGTTTTAAATATCCAATAAATCTTGTTCCACTTTATGATTGTGTCCTACTTGTTGTTGATGATTCTTTACAAAAAAAAGACATTTCATATCTTTATGTTTGAAGCCTGAAATGTGGTCGAAATGGTCGAAGGTTTAAATGGGGTCGAACACTTTTTCAAGGCACTATAGAACACCTCAAACACCAAGTCTGTTAATCATGTTTCCCTGCATAGTAGAAATATATGTTATTTAAAAGAATAGTAAAACTAAGATTAATGCCCAACTTAAAGAAATAAAAAAATTAAAAATTAAATTCTCCAGGAGATGAAACTGAAAGCTTCTCTAGTTTAAGGTAGGTTTTAAAGTTCAAAGTTTAGAAAAGATATACCATCCAGATAAGGGAGAAAGGCATTATTGACTCATAAGAATGGAAGTTGTCAAAAACACCCTACAGAAGACATTGTGGCAGCGGCTATCAGGGTTCAGGTTGCCACAATAAGGAACATACACACTGCTAAAGGTCTGTGCACCTAATGCTATGTTCAGACTGCACGCCATTGAAGCAGCTGGTTTAAATGCATGGTCAATGGTTGACGCACATCAAGGCACAGCAAAAGGTTCTGCAGTGCGTTTTGAGCAGCGGGAGCAGCACATCTAGAGTTTCTGAGCATCTCAGGTGATGGTCTTCACAAGCAGCAGCTGCTGGAGTTGGAAAAATGTAACTTTTGCTGCTCATATGCCACATCAACCAATCAGAGAAGCTGATCTTGGAGCTGGCAGGGAGACCGGAACAGCACTGCTGATTGCTATGATTTTTCCTATGAAACAGTTTATTAACGTCTGTGTTAAATAAAAATGTTGAAACCTGCTGGTAAAATATGTTCGCATTTAACATTCTGGCCTGTGTGTTTTGCATTATCTACATTAAAAACCGCTAACATCCACTTCCAGCTGCCACGAACAGCAGTGGAAAACCCAATAGGTGCCCTGGCCAGAGGCAGCTGCTGCTGTGGATTTCCAGTGACAGCGCAGAGCCAGTCTACGGGGGTTTTGTGGTGGTCCGACAACGAAGTAATATTTGAAGCCAGAATCATAATCTTGATGTACTGATTGCAGAGATGATGCTTTAAGGTGGACATTCTCACTTTAAAACATATTAAAACGACTTTTTACACACTGATTACAGCAAATATAGCAAAGCCGCCCTCTGGCATCGAACACAGGAGCATCAGACGCATCTGGACACACCGTACTGAATGTGCTTCAGGAGTGTCAAAGATGCTCCTGAGGCGCGTTGGACCTTTATGTGTACAAACATTAGAAATTAAACAGGAGACGCTTTTTTTGCTGCTTCAATTTGGCATCAAAATCAGACCAATACCTGAATTCTCAGATTGTCTATTTGCATGAATGTCAACATGAATCCATGTCGGACTCGTGAACAGTTTAGTCAGTTGAAGTTTAAAAACTTGACTGTGACTTCCAATCAGAAGAGTCTAGATGTAATGTTTTCTTTCCCATTTATTGCATAAATCCTGTCATATACTTATGTTAAAAGAAAAGACATTTTTGAGTTAAGCTCACAGGCTTGAAACTTCACCTGGACTAGGAATAAAATTATGAACAAACAATGATAGATATTTTTTTTTCTTCAGCTGGGGAAAAAAAAAAAAAGTAATGTGAAGAACTAAAGGATTCCTTTTTGCAGTAATTGGGTGTGAAGGCAGGTTCGGCCATGCTTGCATGAATCTCCACGTGACCAACAACTACTCAGAGCTTAGCCCCTCCCTGCCCCTAGAATGCCACCAGAGCAGCAAAGCGTAGAAGCAAAAGGTCAACAAGTCCAAGTTCTCTTACTAACAGCATTATAAAGCAACTTCTTCCAAACACATGTTCCTCTGAAAGGTAAAGCTGTTTTGCTGTGCAATTGCAGTGTAAAAAAAGACTGGTGGAGACATTGCTTGTTACACATCTTATTTTGTCCCACAATACTGTGCTCA